TGGTGGCACACGCATTTATGTATTTTTTTTTTTTTTTTTTTTTTTTTAACATAGACCACTTAGAAGAAGGCCGGGCTGATGGTAAGAGCCATCTAAGTGTTAGCTATTAAAATACTAATTATTATTTCTCAGCCCGTCTGCCTGCCCCAAGTGTCTCCCAGTCTAGCTGTCTGTCTGCATGACGCCCCGTTTGTCTCTGTGGCCTTCTCCCCGGCCTGACCCCCTGCCCCCACACACCCACTCTCCCTTGTAAAGTCTCTGCCCCTCCTTGACTCTCTGGCCTCACCTCTGTCCCCTCTGGCCTGGTCAGTGTTGACACCGGCCTGGGCTGACTCACTGCGGCCTCCTGGCCCCTGGGACCTGCAGGTTGGTTTCTCAAGGTGTTGCCCTGTGGCCTGCCCTGCCCAGTCCCCCCCCCCAATGCTGCCCGCTGCGCCCCCGCGGCCCAGCCAGATGTCAGCTGCAGTTATTAGCATGGGCGGAAGACACAGGGCTGGCACTGTGCCTGCCAGACTCAGAGGCCTCTGGAATCTCCCTGGAGCCTGGGGCGGGGGAGGGGAGCAGTTCATGCCAGGAGAAGAGGGGAGGGGGCACTGAGGGGTCACAGGGACCCTCCAAGGACAGAGGGGCACCCCCAGCTTCTCCAAGGATCTTTCTCTGTAGTGCTCCGGCTGAGCTGGACTTCCCCCTGCACCCCCACTAGCTCAGTTTCTCTTCGATCTCTTTCAATTTCCTTCTCTGGCTGAGGCCTGGTGCGTGCGGGTGCTGCAGATGCTGGCCAGTCCGGGACCTACCTCCCCCAAGAAACCTCCATCTTCTAAGAAGGCAGAGGCTGGGAGGCTGAGAAAGAGAGAGACGTGAGGCTTCTCACCTCTTGTTCTAGTGGCTCACGCCCTGACTGCTTGGAAGTCCCACCTCGAGTCTAACTGGAAGCTTGCCATCTAAACCTCCACCCAGCCCTTCCTGGGAAGGGGACTCTGGGTCTCCTATTGGCCTTTTAGATTTTCAGATCCCCGATGATTCAGGGGGAAGGGGCGACCTCAGACAGAGAGAGACTCCCTGGGGAGGGAGGGAAGCTTTCGGGATATTCTAGATGGTTGATTGAAGGGACGCCCTCCCCCCAGACCAAAGTGGCAGTGGGACCCCTGATCCCCAGGAGTGGGGAAGACCTGTCCCCAGCATGCAGGGGGGTGGGGGGGGGGGACCCAGACCTTATGGCACAAGGGAAGGGCACCCCGCCCCAGGGAGGAGGCGGCCGCGGTGCCAGCCAGCCCAGGCGCCTGAGGTGCCTGGAGGCATCGGCCCGCCCCCT